AAGGTTTGTGCTATCCATGGTGATTTGAACCATTTAAGACAGTTGCTCAGCAGGATTCCGCAGTGTGGGGCTCTGCGCGGTACAGCAGGTAGGGAGCCTTCATGTGCGCGCGTCTCTCGTGTTTTAGGGTGGTGTCGGCCTTTGACCCACCACTTGCCGCCACCCGCTAAAACACAATGTTGCCAGTTTTGGTTTTCGTGGCAACAGGCGCCATGTTGGTTCTTGCGGCCAGGCGTTCCTGCTCCGTCGCACTGCACCAGCTGCATGTTGGCGCGGGTTTGCAGGCTGCGGTATGAGCTGTGTTTGATTACCCCGTATATATAGACGTAGCTTCCGCTACGACACCATCCTCGCGCTAGCGCACCTACAAGAACTTTGAAGTGTGAATGCCAGGGTGCTGCGTGCCACAATGCAAAACCATCTGGAGGACCTTCCCGCTTCCCGACCTGATCTAGCACTACGGAAACGCTCGGCTACACAAGTGAGTGAGACTGCTTGGAGGCGACTACTTCTCGCCGTGTTTGTGAGGGTGAGTATACGCGTTGTATTGGGAGTGGTTGAGTATATCACCGCACATTTCGTGAAATATGGCTGACTTAGCCATGCAACGAAAAGCAGTTTGAGCAAAGTAAGCACGACAACGTGCACAGTATAATAATGAATATGCTTTGTTCGGCTACGCTGTGCGAGCGGTAGATGGTTGAGTATGCTGTTTATTCCTTGTAGTCGAACGCAGTTCATCAATCAAATGATATAACTAGTCAAATGTGTGGTCCGCATGCATTCACTATCTTACTTTCTTTGTTCCGAAGCCGTCGCTGCATTCGTCACGGAAACGCCAGGCCCATAAACCACCTACAGACGCTCCCTTTCGGGTCTTCCTTTGCTGGCGATGTTCGCATTCCTGCAATTTTACCCTCGGTCACTGAGGAGGGCATTGGAGAGGTAGCAGACAGCCGATGAACGCGTTTCCTGTAGGCGCTTGTCTTACAAAGTTGCAACGCACCAACCTTTTTCTGCGCTTGCCATGGGGTATTCGTTCTTCGCTTCAATGACACGCGCAACCCACCGAAACTCGCTCAATAATTGCAAGCAAGACTTCTCTTTAATAACATAGAATGCGACAGATTTACCGTTCGTGTCCGTACATCCTTTTGTCTAGTCTGTAGGTTCTGAAAGGAGGCAGTATATGTGCACTAAGCAAGTCGGTTGTCTCCCATATCTCAAAGATGCCCTATGTGGTGCATCGTTATTGTGTCGTCCTTTTGTTTCATAAGCAGACACACAGATGATTTGATATCGTAAACTCCGCTTTTATTCAGTGCTTGTAGAGAAATGTGTATGAACTCGTATATGTGGTCGGAGCCGTGTCTGCTGTTTCGTGTTATTGCTTTACTCTAGGCCCACTGCGAGGACACAAGCTCTCCCGCAAGGAGGCAGGATGGTTGGAAGACACAAGGCTAGATGTCGTTTGGCTGCTGTTTGCAATAAAATTTGACCTGGAAAAACTTGATTTGTCTCTGGTTGCTCTCCTTTGCTTTTCTTCTAGCCTAATATACAGGCTTGTCGGCAGAGGGGGAGGGTCGGTGTAATAAGATTGAATGCGCTACCTTCGGGCAATGCTTACAGCTTGTAAGTTTTTAAGCAGTCATTGTACAGATTCGTCGAAAGAAATAAACTTGCTGTAGGATATTATATTACAAAGAATCGCAATTGTTGGGGTATGAGAAACAGGGCTATAGCTGAGCTATTTGCGTTACAGAGAACATCGCGAGCTACCCGGTTGTTTGATCTGCCTTCCCTGCCGTTGCGAGTTCCATCATATAAACAGCACATGTTTCGAGCCTTGCACCAAGAGGCCTTTGAGGTATTTGCAAGTGCTAAGTGATATGCTTCCTGAATTGCGCGCAGACTTGAAGTCTATTCATAGTGATATGGAGGTTCTCCCTCTTGCAAATATAGACTCCCTAATTAACCTCAGTCCGCCAATGCGGTGGTCTACCAAGTGGGAAAAAGGAAACTGTTTTAACAGTATTTTATACAAACTCGATTCACGAACAGGTCTTCCCGTTCTACTAAACCGCGGCTAACTTCAGAAAACAACTCTTCAGCCTTCAGCACTTGCTATATAAAAATACACCTCTTCTTGTTGAAACCCACGCTACCGGTCAATGTAAATGAGCGACCACTCAGAACCACATGGTGTCCGTCAAGTATGGGGGCCGTTTTAGCAAGTTGTAAGCAACCATGATCGGAGTTGTCACCACCCTAAAACATGGAGACGCGCGCACTATTAAGGCTCCCTAACAGCGGGGGCAAATCACCACCCACGTTCCTGATAACTGCGCTCACATGACCCATTTTATGGCGCTTAGGCACTGAAGTGATATTGGAGCAGATGGACGGACTACGTATTGATGAGAGAGGGAGATGAAGAGGAGGACCGGGAAGTTAACCAGGTGTGAGCATCCCGTTTGCTAACCTTCACTGTTGCGGGAAAATAGGGGATTGAAGAGAGAGAAAGGGCAAGTGGATGGCAAAAGGTAACCTTTGAGACGAAACTCTACGCCACGCGAGTTTGCCCCTAGTTAGAAGACCATGTCACTGTAACGTAACGTATCTGTATGTAGCCCTTACTTTGTTCTTCGGCGCTCTAATGCATGCTATTTCTTGGTTTATTTCAATAATTTCTACTTGATCAGCACCGGAAGCTCGCCACAAGGCGTAGGACATGTCAAACGTCGTATATTACACCAACTCCCGTTCAGTGGAATGTGCACATGAGCTTGTGTCGATATCTCGGGCACTGGTGAGAGAAAGCAGAAATGTCTGGTGGCCGAAGAATACGCACTCTTGGTGAAGGGGAGGAGGTTGGACTTGTACATCCTTGACGCCGTTCTGAACCAGAGACTTGAACTTCCTTGGCATGGCCTGCCGCCCTGATTCACCGCAACTTTTTTGACAAGGCCTGCCGCCCTGATTCATCAACACCGCCCTGATTTATTTAGGGATTTTTCTACAGCAGAACAAAGATCCCGGTGACAACGACCCTGTCGTGTGCTGGATGCGCTGACCGCGGGGACAGAAATGCAGGCGAAAGGCCACCACATTAGCCCCATTCTCGTTGTGATTCACGAGAAAAAAAATGAAAAAAAGACGTGCACATTCTTCTATTGCGTCTCATTATTTATGTAAAGTTTTATTATTTTATCAAGTAACAAAAACAAACTACGCATGTCGTGTTAAATAATTTTCGCCATGTCACGTGCCACTGTTGGCAACGCCAGAGCTCAATCGTCTACGTAGAGGACCAACGTAGCTGCACTGCCGTGTACGTATAGGGCCATTCATAGGTGCACGACGTGCTACTTTAGTTGGGCGTACGTAACGAGCGCACGGACGCAGAGTGGCTACGGGAGAGAACTGCGCATGTGCAGTACGTCACGCATCGATTCCAGAGATGTGCACGTACTCCCGCAAAAAGAAAAAAAAAAAAAAACGAAAAACGCGGCGTGCGTAAACGTGACAAGGCGAAGCGTAGTGGCGTGACGCTCTCGCGATATCTCGATTGAAATAGGAACCCGATAGCAAAACGGCAGCGATGGCGTCGAACGCAGAGAGCAACAAAGCGTGCCTGAATCGAGTATAGTAAAGGCAATAGCCTTTCTTGGGGACCTCCGACGAAAAGATTTAGGTCCTGTGTGTCTGTTCTGTACATTTGTCTTTGGTCTGCTCTAACGACACTTGAAACGGCATCAAACGGCCAACCCCATCCGCAGCGCCCCCCCAATATTGGTCAAGGTTTAGCGTTCATAGTTCTGTGATTGTCAAATAAAATCTATTATTGCGCCTATCTGAGGCACTACAGCAATGCTTCGATGTTTTGTATGTCTGCCTTTATACTAGAAGACGCACTCACAAGTAACTCTAAGGAATGCAGCGTTTAATCGTGGTGCGCCGACACTGCAATGCGATGCTCAAAAAAGGTGTTTCCAACGCTTTGCTATACGACGTCACAGTGGGTGGCACCTGCCCGTCTCTTTGTGTTCTACAACCTTAATTATCACCCTCCGAGACTGGCGCGCATCTTTCTCCGCGGGCAGCAAGCCTTCGTTGTCGAAGATACTGCCAGATAGCACTTGTGTCGAACGTGCCTCGAATGTTGCTCGTTCGCCTCCGCTACACGCTCGAGGCACTCTAACGCAGCGCCTTCAGAATACCTTCACCGGTTTTCTTGCGCAGACATCAAATAAACGTTTGTTCTCTCTCGTCCAGACGTGAGACTATAGTCCTTTCGAACGACATTTGCGATGTAACATGCAGATTTGGAACCATTTGTTTTTACTTTGAGGGACGATGTTGAGCTGCTAGCGGACGTAGAAACAACGATCCGTTTTAGGCATCCGGAGCATAGAAAGAGATTGCTTGGTGCCTCAAGGAAGTCCTGAAGAACGATTTACATCGCACTGTGTGCGCGAGCACTTGGACCTGTCGCTGTTTTTCTTATGATAACATACGTCTTTTGAACCAACGTATCTTGGTACGGTGAACGAAAGGTATCGTTGAGCGCTTCGCATGCAGCGCCCGCAACGTATCGTGCCGCGTACGTTTATGCCCGTTACGTGTGCCCAGCTAAAAGTGTCTATTCTCTGGGTGCGCGCCCGCGAAAGGAAGCGGAGAAGCGTTCATCTTGATATTGGACCCATTTTTGCGGCGTGTAGCACTGCAAATTTTGGTAGACGTGATTGCCAACGCCCCATGTACGCATTGCACTTGTCAGCTCAAATTGTCAGACCTGGCGAGTGGCCCTTTAAATCAGTAGCAAGTCCGCCGCAATGGTATAGCAATTCCGGTCATGAAAATCGCGGAAACAAAGGGCCGCCATTGCCTTCTGATGTGCAGTTAAACAACGCAACTTGTCACGACCGCCAAACCCAGCGGCGGGTGAAGATAGCATTATATCGAAGACATGGAATTCTTCTTTTTGATTTGTACAGTAGGCCTCACCCAAACGGGCAAGGCCTCACAAAAATTTGCCTATAGGCTCATTTAATTGTCCTTCCCCACGGCAATCTTTAGTAAAAGGCGAAAGATTGATTCGACTAGCTGAGGAAGGACCTGAACAATGATTAAACTGAGGTCCACATTCCGGCGTGTTGAAAAATGGCTGTAGCACATGGCCCAGTTTGTATAGAGGCTTTTTGTAGGTTTTCTGGCTTTTAATTTAATACGTATGTGTTATCATAGAGCTTTTCTACACATTCAAATTTTAACGTATACCTTTAAATAACGGATGTCAAATATAGACATATTTATTTCAGTTTATGCTCCATGTGGACGAGAAATGCTTGCAGCCGTATACATTTCCATGAAAGTTTGTTTGGAAGTGCCGGAGTAACGGCATGTGAGCACGCGTCTATTTCATACTTCGCGCACTTCGTATTTCGTAGTGTTTAGGGGCTACGCTCCAGGGCCAAGAGGGCAGTAGAAGCCAGAAGGTTCCTGGACTAAGTGAGCCCTCCCACCTCAGGGTGACAACCGGGCATTGCTCGGGGCACTGTTTTCAAAATGAACGTTTACTTCCTCTAATCTCTCCTTAAAGGTTCCCTGAACGGGTTTTAAATACGAAGCATTTCTTAGTGAACTTCGGCGACTTTGAGCGTATCTATCTATCTATCTTCTACTATCTATCTATCTATCTATCTATCTATCTATCTATCTATCTAGCTATCTATCTATCTATCTATCTATCTATCTATCTATCTATCTATCTATCTATCTATCTATCTATCTATCTATCTATCTATCTATCTATCTATCTATCTATCTATCCATCCGCCTACGACTTTAGCTCTTCTGGCCGTTTTCGATGATGTATCGATACCAACTGGTATGGCCGTAACATGACTGTATGACGAACATATTTGATTAGTGACAGCATGAAAAGCATGACATTTATATCTAAATTTCATGATTTACATGTCATGGGCTTGCTGCTCTTGCCGGTAGTTTCATTGACATGATATGCTGTAAAACTGGTGTGGCATGACCATTGCATGGCGAACACAAGCTACAGATTCTAACATAAAAATCATGACATTCTTGTCATGTAACAACATGACTACAGGCCACGTTCATGATGCGCTCGCGGCTGTTTTACTGGCGTCACATATACCAAGTTTGATATTACGGTATACGTGAATGGATGACGAAGGTATGTGACTGGTGCAAACTTGATAATCATGAGATGCTTGTCATGTAACAACATGACTAAATGCTACGCTCATGATGCACTCACAGCCGTTTCACCAGCTTCACATGTACCAAACTCGGTATTACGCGACGCGAACGGACGACATAGGTAAATGAACATCCACAAATGATAATGACGACATGCGGGTCATGTAACATGACTCCATGCCACAGTCATGATGCGCTCGCTGCCGTTTAGCTAGCTTCACATATAACAAATTTTGTATTACGTGACGCCAATGGATGACGAAGGTATGCGACTGGCGCAAACATGATAATCATGATGCATGTCATGCGAGAATATCACTACATGTCAGAGTCAAGGCACCAATACATTTCGATGCGGTGTGCGTGCTCGCCGGCGTTCATTTCGTCGCGTCACGCCAGCGTTGCCACGCCAGGCGCCGGTCCTGGCGTATACTCACAGTCGAGCGCCACGCTGCGTTGTTTCGACGCATGCGCGTTTCAGCGCGTCCAGTTGCGTTTTGTCACGAAAAGAGGGAGACGCAGTGTTGTCTGGGTAACGCATCGGCGTGAAATACAGCAAGTCGCATTTTGCGCCGGTTGCGATCGGGCCGCGCCGACGGATGCTGGTCGCACCTGGTGTCAGACTATAAAGTGCTCGCGTTATGCTAACGTAGCGTCGCTGTGCCCAGCGTTGCGCACGTCAACTCTACATTAGACCATATTGGGCAATTCGTGGTACGCTCGCGGCCGTTTTTCTAGCTCCACATATACCAAGTTTGGTGTTACGCGACGTCAATGGATGACAAAGTATAGGACTGGCGCAAACATTATAATCCTGACACGCGTGCCATGTAAGAACATGACAATATACCACGCTTCTAGCATGCTTACGGCCGTTTCGCTAGCTCCACAAATACTAAATTTGGTATCACGGGACGTAAATAGAAGACGATGGTAAAGGACACATCCAAACATGATAATCATGGCAGCGGAAGTCATGTGCGGCATCATTTACCTCAACCTCGTAACGTTGCTGATTTTAAAGTGACATGTCAACCTTCCTCCTTAGTTCTTGCATATCATCGATTTCCACTCTACGTGGGATCTGCAATTTTAGGGGCGAACTCCTTATAGCGGCAACCCGTTCTTTTTTTTTCTCTTTATTGCCTTTTTGACTACAGGTCAAGGTATCTGACAATCACCATCACACGTGTTTCATGTGTGATAACGCAATCAAACAAAGACATTACATCTTCAACACAGTCGGTAGTCTTATACACATCTCGCACTTTATAGCAGCTTTCACGAAACACTCATTAAACGATAGAACTCTTACATCACAGTGTCCTGTACGATAGCATACTACGCCAACCGAATGAAGACCAAGTAAAAATATAACAGCCAAATTTTGCACAGAACTATCACAAGGCATCCCCAAAGCAGGCAAGGCCGTGATACGGAAATATGAGGCCCATATCACTGACTTCGTGCGCGGGCAAGCTTATGGAGACGATGGTACGGGATCGCCTCCCCATACTTGAGGGCAAGGGCTTCTTTGCAGACACCTTGTTTGGGTTTCGCCCACACATGTCTGCACAGGACGTCCTTCTCCAGCTCCTAGGGCCGTCATACAGCCCATAAGTATGCAACACAATGATAAAGCCATCCTCGCCCTTGATCTGAAGGGGGCTTTCGACAATGTTAAACACAGAAGCATCCTGGCTAACTTGAGCTCCACCGATTGCAGTGCTAAGGCCTTTGCATAGTCAGAGATTTTCTCTCTAAACGCCAGGCACTTCTTCGGATCGAGGACGAGGAATAGGCCCGTACATTATGGGAACACGGGGTCCCCACAGGGAGCAGTGTTATCACCACTCCTTTTGAACATTGCTATGATGCGCCTTCCAAGTGAATTGGTCAGGGTGGAAGGCACAACACGCAGTATATTCCGATGATATTACAATCTGGACCACTGAAGGGAGCCTTGGTGAAATGCAGGAACGCCTTCAGCAGGCCGCATCCATAGTCGAGGCGTATGCCAACGATTGTGGACTCCAATGCCAAACAAATCAGAGCTTCTGCACGTTAGAGCGAAGCCAAGAGATAAGTCAACCATACACATCTCCCTGTCTGGGGTTCCCATCAGGAGGTGGAGGAGCTCCGGATTCTGGGCCTGTTCATTCACCACAGACTCAGACCGGACTCCACTATAGCGAAACTCAAGAGAATAGGCGAACAGGTAGGGCGCATGATCCACCGCGTTTCCAACAAGCGGGGTGGTCTGCGGGGCAGGGACGCGTTCGGCTCGCCCATGCTTCGTGACTAGCCGGATCCTCTACGCCGTCCCATACCTTCGCACTAACAAGCAAAAGACGAAAGAATAGATGCCATCATTCGTAAGGTTACTAAACGAGCTCTGATCTCCCGGTGGCCACTTCCAACGCCAAACTGAGGGGCGTTTAGGTGTGCT